AACCCCAAAACCCCTTGAATCAGAATATAAAAGATAATTTAGAAATTTGAAATCTTGGCATAAAATAGATGAGTGATATATTAATTGAAAATCAAATGAAATTAAAATGATAAAACACTTTGCAATTGAATCTCTTTTTTAATATTTATAGTATTATTATTATTAAGACAATTGTTTCCTAACTCAAAATGATTATTGCCAATAGATTTTACTTAAAGAAAGAAATCGGAAGAGGAGCTTCTGGTAAAGTATATTTAGCAAAGGACTAGCTTAATAACTCCTAATGCGTCCTTAAAATAGTAAGCTTACTTATACAACTAAATTTAAAGTTCAAAGATGAAGATGAATATTAAATGGAAAACGATGTATACCTGAACTTGATTCAATAAAAAGAAGAGGCCTATTAATAGCTATACATTGATTCTGGTGTGGCTGATGAGTTTTCATATTACATAGCCCTTAAAATGCTAGGTTCATCCTTAAAATAGGAGCTAAAATCTATGAAGCAAAAACTCCAGCTTAGTCAAATCATTCAACTTGGTTAAAAGCTGGTAAGTTCTATATCTCTGTCTCATTAGCATAATTTACTAGTTGGAATAAGTAAAGTGTCTGCACAAAGCAGGTTATGTTCATAAGGATATTAAGCCTGAGAATATTCTTTTTGGAGATTAGGACATCTTGAATTAAGATTACACTTCAGTTTAATTGATTGATTTTGGCATATCATAGAGATTTCTAAATTAGGATGATGGCAAGCACATCCAAAATAAGACATAAATTCATTTCTGTGGAAACCTTTACTATAGTAGTATAAACATGATGAAGCTTGAAGGTAATATTTATTCACTTAAGAACTTTAAAGGTCCTTCGAGAAGAGATGATTTGATTTCGATATTTTATTTACTGCTATATTTAAAAGACGGATTTCTACCTTGGATTGGGTTTGTTACTTAGCCATTTACATAGGAGAAATATAATTAGATACTTTAACTTAAGGATAATTATAACAAACGATTAAAACTAAATAGCCATAGTTGTATATTTATAAAAGAATTAATTTTTCAGGCTTTTTATCAAAATTATTAAATCAAGCTTGCAGAATTAAGTTTAGTGAAGAGCCTGATTATGATTATTTCATAGGAAAATTGTAATATAAACCCCTTTTCTGATAATATATAGTCAAAGATAACGTAGAAACATATAAGTTGGGAACCTTTTCTAAGTTATTCAACCATTTACATCTACAATAGCTTCTAATTCTTAAAGTCCGAATACAAGGACTAATTAATGTAAGAGTTTTAGACAATAACTCTAATTTTAGTTGGAATATAAGAATTAGATGATATTGATTTTCAAGATCATTAGCCGAAGAGGAATAAAAAATCTAAATTTGGGAGGAAAGAATAAATTCAGACGCCTGTTGCAAATAACTAATAAAGTCTATTAGGGAATTAATAGGATTTCACATAAAATAATTTTGCCAAAGAGATATAGTAAATATGCACAGAGAAAAAAGAATCCTAAAGTATTTGTAAATAAAAGTCTATAAAAACTTAGAAAAAGAGGAAATTAAAGAATTGTCGAAGTAACAGTCCTAAAAAAATAATATAAAAGAGCAAAAATCAACATGAAGAGATTGACTGCTCTGAAAATCAGAGAGAATTCAACTAAAACTTGAAAATTCATCCTATTCCTATTGATGGTGAAAATTAGAGCAAAAGATTAAGAAAAACATCTTCTATGGATGCAATAAGAGAAAATGATCAGAAGTTATTAATTGATGCTTAATGCTCAATATAAGAAACAGATTAGCTAGAAGTAGCAGACGAAAATATAGAATATGAATTCATAAACCATCGTCTCAATTAAATTATGAATCCCCATTAAAATAATATTAATATTAAAATCTAATGATGAATTGCAATATTCCAATATTTAGTCAGATGGGGTTTTGGGGTTTTGGGG